AGGTCGTTCTCCTTGAGCAGGCTTGGCTGAGCCAGCAGCTTTAGACAGGTGGCTTTGATGATGAGCAAGCAGGAGGGGGATGCCAGCCATCCGGATTAGCTGAGTCATCTTGGGTGTCAGTGGCCACCATCCATCAGCCAGATGGTCCTCAGGCCCCTGGGATCCATCGTGCCTTAGGATTCATGATGCTGACCTATTTCTTCTTCCTGTCTCTGACTGCTTGCTGTTTTCTGAGCTCCTGGTGAGTGGGGTGTGTCGATGGCATCTCACCCCATGAACCATTCTGTTAACAGAACAGAATGCACAGTGCAGTCACTCTAGCACAAACACGCTTACTGACTTTAGCCCCCCAAAAGTAATGCTTCAATGCTGTCCTCTCTCAACTCCACCTTCCTATTTGCTGAATCTCCTCTCCTTCTGGATTTGGACTTCGCAACCTCCTCAGTGGAATCATATCAAGCTAAAATCAGAAGAGAACGTTTAACTGTAAAGTAGGAAAGAGCATGGACGTGGAAGTGAGACAGACCTAGGAGGAATGTCAGAATGGCCTAGACAAAGGAAACCGATAAAGCACAGCTGTTAGATTCAGAGGGCTTTGATTCTCATCAGAGAGATGAGAATTAATATACTAGTTAGGATGTAAAAGAGATGATGACAAGTGACACAAGAGGACCAGGTAAGATATTAGGTGACCTTAGAGAGAAAAGAATTTTTCCTAGCTGAGGGGAAGGAATGGGTTTATGGAATAAGTAGAATTTGAGACCTGGCTGGTATAACAGACTGCTTCATTTGAGCCTCTAGTTCCAAAATGTACCTTTGGATGTAGGTGTAGTGGATGTTGTTTTTGTTTCTATTTACGTCTTAAAGGATGCCTTGACCTTTTGGAATTTATGTTGCTTTGCCCATGTTTTCCTAAGTCTTCCAAGATGAAGCATCAACTAAATAGCTGTTTCTTTTCCACTTTAGTATTTTTTTTATGAAGTTTAAGAAAATCTCATCTTCTATACTCACATTGCTGATAAATGTAAAAGTAAAGATTCCTGTAGTTTAAGGAACACTTTCCTCTCCCCAAGGAAGAGAAAAGAGAGATTAGATGAACAGCATCAGTTGGTGACCATCCTATTGAAAATCTGTTCTCATCTCCGACCAGAAGCAGAGGCCATTTTGCAGGGCTTCTAGAAGAGCTGCCTGTGGGTCTGTTCTGCATCTTTCTAATGTGCTGTGTTTGGATACCACAGCCTACTCAGGGGCACACAGTCCACAGAACCAGACTCACTAAGAAATTTGGACATTAAATGTTTTCCATAGATTAAGTCCTGAGTTTTTGAAATGGTAATCCATTTGTTCAGGATTTTTTTTGTCTTTAAAACTTAACCTACTGTCTAACATGCTGAAAATCTAAACATTTTTAAGATTTCTTAACTTGGGCAAGCTTTACACAAAATTTACTGAGAGAAGAATGTTGTAGCTAATGAAATTTTCTAGTTAACAAATACTAAAATGCTTTTAAAAAAATCAACAGTCTCATGGTCTAATGGCAATCATTTTATTTTTATTTTGGTGTGTGTGTGTGCCAAGAATGGAAAAGGACTTCACACATACTAGCACTCTACAACTAAGCTACATCTCTGGTCTGACAGTAATTGTTTAAAAGACTGGATCTTGTCTTCTGTAAGATTAGTTGTTAACAATACTGATGGAGGAACAAGGGAGCTTATTTAGGTCTAGCACAGGTGCCAAGAGCCTTGCCCTTAGTGGCAGTATTTTTGAGCTTTGCATCCTGGGTCTATCTCTTGCTAGCTGGGTCTATCTCTTGCTAGCTGGGTCTATCTCTTGCTAGCTCGAATCCTTTAGTATCATTGTCCTAATCCATGGTTGGGGATCACAGTGGTGTAAGTCTGTATAGGGTTGTTAGGAAGGCTACATGAGACATGGATAAAGAAGCTGCCTCAATAAAAAGCCAGAAACAGAAGTTAACTGTAGCTGGTGCTGTGCCCACTGATGTTTCATGTCAGCTCCGTAACCTGATAGGGTAGGAGTTTTTTTGGTGTGGGGTATGGGGGCAGAGTTGTGTGGTATCAGAGATCCAACCCATGAACTACATCCCCAACCCTTTTTAAATTTTTTATTACGAGACAAGGCCTTGCTGAGTTGCCCAGGCTACCCTTGGACTTGAGAACCTTCTGCCTCAGCTTCCTGTGAAGCTGGGATTATAGATGTGTGCCATCTGCCCAGCAAAGTCAGTATTTTTAATCTGACATTTTTATGGGCGCCTTTGTGTGTGTGTGTGTGTGTGTGTGTGTGTGTGTTAGGAATTGAACCTAAAGGTGTTTTACCACTGAGTCACATCCCTAACACTTTTCATTTTTTTTTTTTTTTTATTTTGGACAGGATCTTACTAAGTTGCCTAGGGTCTTGCTAAATTACTGAGCCTGGTCTCTAACTTGGAGTCCTCCTGCTTCATTCAGCCTCCTGAGTCACTGGGATTACAGGCTTATCTGTACTTAAATACAAGTACAGCCATATGTCATTTAACAACAGAAATGCATTATTGGGTGATTTTATCATTGTGCAAAAGTCTTGGAATATAAACCTAAACATAGATGGCATAATTTACTACATACCTTGGCTATATGGTGTGTGTATGTATTTAGTATAGCCTTTTGCTCCTAAGGCCGTGATGAGCAAAATAACATGAAATTAAATCTATCATAAGATGATGTAGTCATAATCAGGAGACACAGTAAACATGTATAAGGAAATTGCTAGCATAACAGCATATTGTTTAACAGTAAACTTTTTTATAATGTTTTATAATGTCAGAAATTACAGTATAATTAACACAAGTGATAGACATAGCAATAGAAAGCGTAGTACAGTAAATATGTAAGTCAATAACAGTCGTTTACTACCATTATCAAATATCACATGCTGTGCATATACTTTCCTGCAGCTGGCAGTGCAGCAGGTTTGCTCACACCAGCATCGTCATAGACATTAACGCCCTGTGCTGCATCATGACAGCTGTGACATCAGGAGGCAACAGGACTTTTTCAGCTCCATTATTGTTATATGAGACCACATCGTATACGTGGCCTGTCATTGACTGAAACAATGTCATGCAGCCCACGACTATACTCAGATTTAGAAAGCTCCTCGCTCCAAGTCATATAATTCTAAGTGGCAGAGTTGAGATGTGTACCACAATGTGACCAATTCCAAAGTCCATACTACTTTTTTTTCCCCCTTAGATGACCTTTTCTTTTAGGTACTCAAAGCCCTCTTTTCATTCTTTTTCCTTTATTTTTACACATGCTAATTTATTTTTATACATGGTAATTCTTCCCTAATCCAATAGTACAGAAATAACTAACATAAAAATTCCCCATTCTGGGAGATCCTTAGAGTAGAGGAAAGAAATCAGGGGAAGGGAGAAGGAGAAGGAAAGGGGAAATACTGGGGGATGATATTGGCCAAATTATATTGTTATATTGTGTGCATGTGTAAACACGTGACACCGATTCCCATCATTATGTACAACGATAATGCACCAATTAAAAATGAAAAATAACCCATTTCTTAATCCCATTCCTTATAAGTGATTTTAAAAATGTGTTCTCTATGCTTATAGATAATTTCATTGTCATTTCATACTTTCTATGAAAATTTTGTCATAATTTACATTCTCTCAATGCTGTAAAAGTTCCCGTTTCCCTGCAATATTATCAAGGCTGAATGTTCTTTTTCTGTTATGTTGTCCATTCTGTATCTGAAAGAATACTGTATCTTTGCTTTAATTTGCATTTATTAAATTACAAATGAGATTGAATGTCCCAAAACCCAAACTACTTTCTCTACAAACTATCGCACCCGAATTTGTAGTAGTCCCAGGATGGTGCAGTAGTTAATTAACTATAACAATTAGTATGTCATAATTCAATTGAATATGCCTAATGTGTTTTAGAATTTTAATGGGGCTTATTATTACCTGATGTTTTATTTATGCTAAATACATATTTTTAGAATTTTTCAGGGAAAAATTCATCAAGGAAATAAGCAATGTATTTATTGGTCTAATGAGTGCTTGCTAAGCACAGTGCTAAGTATTTGATTCAGAAAAATAAACAAGATAGTGCTGGTTGTGTAGCTCAGTGGTAGAGTGCTTGCATAACATGTGTAGACCATGAGTTCAATCCCCAGCTCTGCAAAAATAAAATAAGCAAAATAAACACATTTTCAAGAGTTTTAGTCTTGTATATAAAATAAACAACTGCCTCACCGAGAAAGCTTTGGTTGGAGGTAACAGAATAGCTAACCCAAACTGGCTAAAGCAATGAGGAAATTTATTAGTTATCATTCTAGAAGGTGGCTAAGGATAAGGCTGGCCCCTAAGTTTGCCCTCCCTTAGAGGACCAGTTCCTTCCATCTCTGTCTTTACTCTGTCACCCACTATTTCAGCTTCTTCCTAAAGGCTGGTTCCTCCATCCTCATGTGATGGCTGCCTGTGGCAATTTGGGCTCCCTGTTTTCTTTCTGAGAGATAGTTGGGCATCTTACAGCTCTATTAAGATTAAGGAAGAACTTTCCACAAGTTTCCACAAACAAACCTCTCTCTTTTTGTCTCATTGGCCTGGGAGGTGGGGCAGGGGGTGGGGGGAGGTGGGACCCATGCCTGAGGTACCCATTCCTGACAAAATTGTTGGAAAAAGGAATGAGATTGACCTTAGGCAATCAGGACTTTGCCTGGAACAGAAAGGAGGGCCCAGCTTTCCCTAAGGCATATTTGTATGCAGCAGGATAGATACCTACCAAAAAGTAAATAAATAAAAGTAAGCAACCAAACACCAAATGGCCCTCTGCTAGAAATACAACAGGAATGACTTCTGCAGAAGCCAAATGATAATACACGCAGCAACTGTGCACAGTTGGGGGCAAGGTGAGTGTACTCACACCGCAATGTGAGTGAAGAATGACTTCCGTTTTCTTCTGAATGTCCCACAGGATCAGAGTGGCATAGAACCTGTTAGTAGTGAGGAAGATGGCAACCTGGAAGTTGGTGTTAAACAATTGCCTGGAAGTGATAGCTCCAACCTGGTGAGAATCCTGGGTGTCTTTCATTCGATGTTCTTTTGGGGGATTGTATTATTTGAATTTTGTACCACCTCGGAAAGGACCATCTGTTGTGTTTGCTTTCCTTGGAATTTTAATCTCTGAGACAGAAGAAGCTTTCCACATAGCAGATCACCCTTTCACACGGAATCGCACCATATCCTGCCATCTTCACACTTGAGTTGTGCTGTCTGGCACTGGAGAAGCAATTGCCCCCTTTAAATCTAGCTGAGTGTTGTTTTTTACAGGTCTAGGGCTGTGCTGAGTAAATCCTGGAGACACAGAAAGAGACATTAAATGTTTTCCATTGATTCATGGTAAAAGATACCTATTCACCAGAGGCTCAAGCCTTCCAGGCAAGTTTAGAGAACTCTCCCTCCTTACATAGTTTAATGCTTGGTATTATATTTGATAGTTGTTGAATGCTTGCTGTGTATCTGGTACTGTTTTGCAGCCAAGAACTTCCAGGGTTGGACTATAAGTTCTAGAAAGAAATATTGAGGCTTTTTTCTTTGTGATTCAAAATTCTCAAATATCAAGAGGTGTCATATGCCCACAATCCCTGCAACTCAAGAGGCTGAAGCAGGAGAATTGCAGGTTCACAGCCAACCTCAAAAACTGTCTCAAAATTAAAAATAAAAATAAAAAGGTGTGGGGTATGTGGGGTAAAGCACCCCTGGGTTCAATTCCCAATACAAAAAAAAAAAAAAAACAAAAGCCACAAAAACCCTCAAAGAATTCATCACTTAGAAGTCACTCTGATTTTAAGTCAGCTTAAAGTTTTATTTTGCTTCAGGGAATTTGAGAAATCACCCATTTGTCTTCTTTCACCATTTAGAAAATATATTTTGAAGCTGGGCATGGTATTATGTGCCACAGTCCCAGTTACACAGGAGCTGAGGCAAGAAGGTCATTTAAGAGTAGCCCGTGAGATAAACAAAAGAAAGAAAAATAGAAAGATCGATAGGTTGATTACTGGCTTAAATTCCATATCCTAGAACTGATTCTTTCAGGTCAAAAGGAAAAGACACATCAGCAAGAGTAGAAATTGTAATGGGCCACGCCTGAACAAAGCTACCTGGGACCTAAGACCCCCCAACATTGAAAATAGGACCATTGTTCATGGAAAAGGCATCCACAGGCTAAACCGTTTCTTTTCCCACATAGACCACACATTGGCCCCAAAGAGGGCTGTGTGACATCAGCAAATTTCACACTGAAAGGCCTTCACTTAAAAATATTGCAGCCTGTTCTTTTGGGTACCATATCTCCAGATAGGTTAAAGAAAAGTCTTTTAAAGCAGCATGATTCTGTAAGTAGGGGTCCCCCTGTTTCATCTCATAGGAAATGTAGAAGGTGGAGCACTCCCTTGCTTCCTGGAAGACTCTGGTAGTCCCAGTGACATTCCCAGGTAGCCTGCAGGCCAAAGCCTCCTCCATTCACTCCCTTCCCAAGCAGGCAACAACAGTGATGAGCTCAAGTGTCACACAGTTGAAGAGCCCGAAGGACTGAGGCTCAGCTCTAGGTATCGCTTCATATTGCTTTTCACCAAGGGTAACAGGCTCCCCCAAGCCATTTGCTATTTCTCTTTATCCCCATTGTTCTTTCCTTTTCCCCTCCTTAACTTTTGGAAGCCTCAAATTTCTTTGTCACTATTTCCAAAGGAATCGTGCACGATCTAGTTGAGGAGAAGAAAGATAGCTTGACTTTGACAGCTTTTATAGTGTAAACATAAATGGCTAGCAAAAAGCATTAGTTAAGAATATGATATGGGGCAAGTTACTTGACCTCACTAAGCCTCAGTTTCCCCCTCTGACAAATGGCAGTTATCAGGATGTTGTGAAGGAAACAAATGGACTGACTCTTCAGAATAAATGCATAGAAAAATATAAGGCAGAGTGTCAGAACTTAGTTTATTCATTCAACAAATATTTTCCAAATGTCACTACACTCCAAAGACTGGAAAGTGTACAAAAAAAAATGCCTCCCTCATAAACTAATTACAGGGTGATGATTAGAAGAGAGATGGGTAACACATAAACTGGCAAAATATTAGATTAAATCATTAAATTGCCCTTTATGAGAAAAATAATTTTATATATTATAAATATAAACTTAATATGCATGTTTTTTATAATAGGATATTGATAACCGTTAATCATCTGCTACAATATTCTTAAGGGGGAAGTAACTTGTTTGTGAATAACTAGTTGTTATTTGACTACTTCTCTTATAATATTGCTGCACCATCCTAAGATTGTTACTGAATATTCCTTGTCCAAGGGCAACATCTGATCTATACAGGCCTTGACTATTCTCACCCTTAGTTGGAAACAGTAAGCTTTAACTCCTCAAAGTTTCTCCCTTGTTTTCCGAGAGGCAAATGTCTCCTCAGGCACAGTGCAGGATGCCACAGTTGTCTCTAAGAGTAGAACTTAAGCCTTGATCTTATTCTTTACATCATCAGTCAGAATAATAGAATTTGTATCTGAAAAATTATACCAGGCTGAAATGCATGGAGTAGGGGATATGTTATGGGAATTTAAAGGAGGAAGGAAAACCATTTCATTCAGGAGTTAGGGACAGTTTCTTAGAATAAGGGCCTTTAAGGTGAACCTTTGAAGATTAGGCAGTGGAATGATGAGGCTAGCATGAAGTCGAGAAGGGTTACCAGATAAATCAAATAGTCTGGGTGGGCTGGGGTGCAGCTCCGTGGTAGTAGAGCACATGCTTAGCATGCTCGAGGCCCTGAATTTGATCCCTACCACCAAACCAGAAAACCAATCTGGATTATGGAATAGCTGGTAAGGAGAAGGCTTTTGTAGAACAGCAACGGACAATAGCTTTGAACAGTGGAATCACAGAATTGAAGAGACTATATGCTGCGAATTATAGAATAATTCATTTAATTTATCAAATTAAAAGATTATTCATCTCTTTATATTCAGTGCTTGTTAAATGTGTGAGGATAGTTGGGATGATTATGTGTGTACACAAGCTGCTACCTGAGAGAAACTACACTCCAGAGAGCTATCCCCCACCTCTGCAAGGCTACTCACTGTTTTCAGAGCTAAGAGGATTCCCTGGGCCTGTGTGTTCTCCAGTGCTATTCCACCATTCAGTGGAGGCTGGCTGTGGTCCATCTCAGTGACTCCTTAGCACACAGCCAAGGCGTTTGTCATATCTGCAGAAGGTATTCCAACTCTCTACGATATTCTTAAGGGGGATGTAACTTCTTGGTGAATCACGCAATGGTTGTGAAGCATGGATTCCAATTGTGAGAGATGGGAGGCAGGCAGGGAAGCATCTGGAATCCATTTCAGAATTCTAGGTGAGAACCTTTAAGATTATTTTTTAAGCCTTTGGAAAGAACATTTAAAAAAAAAAGGTTTACACAGAACTTTGCAATTTATGAAACAAAATTTCATCTATCTCATTAGCTTGATTTTTAAATATCTCAATTTTTTCTAAAATGGTATTAAGTAGGTTCATGATCTGTTCAATCTTATTCCCAAAATAACTGCATATAAAAGTAGGGCAGAAATTATTTATCCAAAATTTATAGATGAGACCTTATCTGCTCAGTGAAATATAATAAAACTGGGAATTGGAGAAGCCAGGGCTCACTCTGAAGGGCCCTATGCGCCTTGAAGCTTGCTAGCATAGAAGCTAATGGATCCCTAAAATAATTATTTTAATCTGTGGTTAAACTTAGTGTTTTTCAAATGTATAGGATATGTATATTCATATGATTCTTTTTTAGTAGTACAAACACTAGAACCAGACTTCTTGAATTCATACCCTGGTTCTATTATTCCTAGGGAAATGACTCAACTTCTCTATGCCTCCACTTCTGAATCTGTAAAATGAGAGAAAGAAACAAGGGATGTTGTAAGAGTTAAGGGAGTGAATGTTAAGTATACTTAGAACATGCCAGAGTACAATGTAATCACTGTTTAAGAGTGAGTTGTTGTTAACGATGATTTTGTAATTCTGATTAAAGGAATAAGGTTTAGCCATAAAAGGATTAGCTATTCTGAGTGAAGCATGAAGGTATAATATGAAAATTGAAGTAAACTTTTTAACCCCCAACATTTACTTTTAATGTATTAGTTAGGGTTCTCCAGAAAGACAAAACCAACAGGATATATAGATACATGAGAGGAGACTTATTAGGGGAACAGATCATGGGGACCAAGCCCCACAGCAGGCTGTGGGCAAAGGCGAGAGCTAGGGAAACCAGTTTCGTGTCTCAGTCCAGGTTCAGAGGCTGGAGAACCTAGAGTTCTGATGTCCAAGGACAGATATGGTGTCCCTACTCTAGAGGAGACAGACTTTGCCTTTTCTCTGCCGTTTTGTTCTATCCAGGGCCTCAACCAGTTGGATGGTGCCACACTGAGGGCAGATGTTACTTACTCCCTTGATTCAAAGGCCAGTCTTTTCTTGACCCATGGTCACAGACATACCCAGAAACAATGCTGTACCAGCTCTCTGGGTTTCCCTTCATGCAGCCACAATGATACCTAAAATTAACAGTTCCTGCTAATAATAGTAGACTGCATCAGTTGAATGCCTGTGTGCCAGGTTGTTCTGATCTTTTCATACATTCACATAACAGCCCTATGAAGTTATCAATAGTATTATCACCGTGTAAGAGATGAAGAAACCGAGGCACTGAAACATTAAATTAGTGCCTGAAATCACTCTCGCTCTGGACTAGGGGCTGAGCTCTAAACCACCTGGTAGTGCCACCTGTCAGCCAGACACACAAAGAATAGCAACACAGTTACACCGGCACTCAACTTTGTGATTTTCATTTCCCTTTGTCTTCATCTTGATCTCTTAAGGTAGGAAACTGGCATATAAACTGGTAAAGAGTCTGAAGTTTGCCTATCAGACCTTTTACACTGAGAATTAAAGCTATGTATAGATCTCAAACAGATGTTTCATAAAAGGAAGGAAACTGTTTCAAGAAGCAAACCTGT